GGAATGACGCTAAGGCGGGATATAACAGGAATCGTGAATGGCTTTGTCCAGTGAAAAGAGATATCATCATTATCCAACATAGCCACGAGAATGGCCGTAGTCGATGAGACTCCAGCAGCGGAAACGGCTTGGTAGGTTATTTCGGGATAAGGATAATCTGGCCGGAGAATAATTACGAGGAAATCAGGGGATGGAAGAGTGGATTTCGAAAAGCCATGCACTCGTTTTGTTCCCCGAACCCTAAGGTCGTATCCAAGATAGAGGATATCGAGAGAAGTGTGGGTGGTAACACAAAATTTCGGACAAACTAACGGAGCTGAACCGATGGTACCATAATGATCACCATAGGAAGGCAAGCAATCCAATTCATCGGGAGAAAAATCTGTACTAGCTGGGAGAGAAAAAGACGATGCTTGCAAGTCTCGTAAAGATATTTCTGTGTCATTCGTTTGGATACAATAATGTCTGGGCAGGATAGAGGATATTTTACTTGGCGTTGTACGCTTGAAATAAGAGACATCTTTTCTGATAAGCAAAAACCCGCTATTAACTAATTTTGAGTACACTAAATACTTACAATATGTGTCATAGTCAAAAACGGCATCCTGAAGTTGCTGTAAGCTTAGGGGTAATCCTTTAGAAATAATGCGGAGTAGACCCGAACAGGCGAGATAGACGGCCTCTTCAGGGTAAAGATAATTATATCCATTTTTTGAAAAGCCCATAGTGTGAAAGAACTTTCCGTGGGGTTTTGTAAGTCTAATACATCCCAACTCGACGTCTAATAAGCCTTCGGCCATCGATGCAGGGTCCCCCTTCGATTCACATGCTAAAATATTATAATAGCTCTGGTAAAGGTTAGAATGATCCAGATCAGGCCTGGCACAAAAGGATTTTCCCGATCTGGATAGCAATCGAGCCTGGAGAGAGGGAGGATCAGACATACGCAAGAGCTGCTTGCCAATCATAAACTTATCCATGTGATGGGTGATTGATCAGATTTGCGCGGGTAAATATTCCAATTTTCAGTATCAAAAAAAGATTATATAAAGGATGTTTTATATTTGTATTCGATTTTATATTGCCGTGCACTTTTTTGTAGAAAGCGGGCTATTTAAATATGC